CATAGTGCCTAAGGCACTTGACTGCTAACCAGAAGGCTGGTGGTTCAAACCCACCAGCCATTCCTCAGAAGGAAGGTCGGGCAATCTACTTCCATAGAGATACTGCCTTAGAAACCCAAGGAGGAGTCACTATGAGTCAGACTTGACTTGACAGCAGTGCATTTTGGGGTAAGTTGTTCATTCATATAGTTCAAAATCCAAAATATATTGAAGATAAACAATTATACACTGGGAAATGCCATTTCAACCCTGTCTTCTTTCCCCTATTTCCTATGTTTTACCCTCTTAGACAGCCATGATTAATGGTTTCTTGTGCATTGTTCTCAAATTTCTTTTTAAATATATAAACAAATTTATGAAATCAAGTCAATTTCAACTCATGGTGACCCCATGTATCACAGAGCAGAACTGCTCCCCAGGGTCTTCCTTGTGTAAATTCTTGAAACATTTGGATCTGCATTCTGAACCACCAACCTTTACATTTGTAGCCAATTGCAAGCCACTTGCACTACCCAGAGATTTTCCTAGACAACATTAAAAACATGCTGCATTTATGCATGAATGTAAAAGCAGGTGCTATGGCATTAAATTTTATTAGAAATAATTATTTTATTCTCATGGGAAAAGTTGGCACCAGGAAATATAAATGCGTTTTCTAGGCCTCCTCTTGGACAATAATGGGCTTTGAAAATCAACAAATATCTTGGAGATGGTCATCATGGATATGCTAACTACAATAATCGTATGTGATACAAAGATTCACAACTTAAACATAAGCACTTAAAATTCAGCCAAAAAATTATCTTGATATTTAGACAGAATGGATGAGTGAAATCATTAATCTGCAAGACTATTCAACAGTGGCTTAAATATTCTCATGGGTTGCTTAAGACTGAGGGCTAAAAACACTATAACTGTAAAGATGACTCACTGAATCACCTCTGAGTTGGTCCTAAGGATTCTTACCAAAATTGGTGTTGCTATTGCCAGTTGTATGTGGACAGGCTGGACAGCATTCCCCAGGAGGAGTGATAGGATCTGCACAGTCAAGCACATCTTGGCACTGTATCTTGTCACAAAGAATAGCTCCATTGTCACAGACACATATCTGGCAAGGGGCAGGTTTCCAAATGTCCCTGTTCAAGTACATCTGGCCATTCTGTGTGCAGGCTATTTCTTCATCATAACTCTCTAGAATAAGAAGAAAAAGAAGAAAGATTAGAGGTTAGTAAACGTTTGAAATTTTGGAATCTGGAGAATATAATAATTTAAAGGTGAGTCATCTTGTGGGTTCTAAGAAATACTGGGCTAAGTAGTAACCTTACAGGGAGACAAAACACATATGAACGCACTTAATTTAGTATTTACATATAATCAACCAGCTGCCTTTGAGTAGATTCCAATGCATGGTGACCCCATGTGTGTCAGAGTCAAACTGTGGGGTTTTCGATCGCTCATTTTTCAGAAGTGTCTCTGTTGGAGTAGAACCTCCAAACTTTCAGTTAGCAGACTAGAATGCTAACCACTTGCACTACAGAGGGACTCCATTTACATAGAAAGCAATATCTAATCAGCATGAAATAATAGTGGAATGATACAAAAAAGTATACTTAATCAGATAATGCTTCCTATAAAATTTTATTTTTGAAGGTACAAAAGAATGATCAAAGATAGGAAGATAGTAAGGAGAAATGCAAACAGACTTTCTAAAATAAAGGAGAAAAAGAAGGGCAGATCAAAAGAGAATATATGATTTTGATGTTTGGGGAAATAAACTGGAGCTCTGGTGGCATAGTACCTATCTAAGGTATTTGATTGCTAACCAGAAGGGTGGCGGCTCAAACCTGCCAGCCACTCCTTGGAAGGAAGGTTGGACAATCTACTTCCATAGAGTTACTGCCTCAGAAACCGAAGGAGGAGTCACTCTGAGTCAAATTGACTCAACAGCAGTGAGTTTGGTTTGGCTTTTTTATATATATATTTTTTATTGTGACTTTCAACTCACAATAAATGTAAACCTCAGAACAACAGAAAGTATATATTCATGTACCATGGAAGAAAACTTTCTAAAATATTTCAAACATAAAGTAAAAAAGAATAAAAGTGTTAGGCCAAGTAAAACCAAGCCCCAATATGTCAGTTGGCAGCTTCCTCCAGGTGTCAGGCCCTGATGAGACAGCCTGATAAGACAACTGAAGTGACAGAACCCACCCAGGCTGGAAAGTCCCATGCAATGACAAACTTCCTCCTGTGAAGCCCCCTCATGTTAATTAAGTACAGACTCATGCTAACAGCTAATTGGACCCTGCCATTTCCTTAGAGGACCCTGTCATTTCCTTGGTGTCCCCAATTAGGTCCTCTCTGTGTCTATAAAAATCCATGCCCCCTGCCCGGGGGTGCGACTTCTCTGGCCTTGATGCTAGGGCATGAGAACTTTGCCTGGGAGTGCTAATAAACTGCTTCTCTGAAACAACTCCATGTCCCGGTGTCTCAGCAACTCTACATTACAAAAAGTGTCCATTTATAGAAGGCAGCCCAGGTGCTGGGGCAAGGTGGATGTTCACGTGCATGAGCACCCTAGGGGCAGGCCAGGTAAGTGAACAGGGTCTGGGAGGCCATGAAATCAGTGGAGCAGTTTGGAATAGTTAAGAGAGACAAACTTGTCTCTCAGTTTGTCGCAACTTGGTGGCTTGTATGTGGCTTGAGTGTGGCTGTGAGACTGGAGGCTATGGCACCAGGGTTTCAAATGCCAGCAAAGTTACCAATGAAGGACAGGTTGCAGTGGAGCTTCCAGACTAAGACAGACTCAGAAGAAAGAAGAGGCCATCCACTTCTGAAAGACTTAGCCAGTGAAAACATTATGAATAGCAGTGAAACACTGTCTGATATATTACTGGAAAACTTTTTGAATAACCTTGAAACATTGTTCAATATAGCACTGGAAGATGAGTCCCTCAAGTTGAAAGGCATTCAAAATGAGACCAGAAAAGAGCTGCCCCCTCAGAGTAGACCTGAACTTAATGATGTGCATAGAGTGAAGCTTTCAGGACCTCAATTTGCTCATGTGTCATGTCTCAAGATGAGAAGAAACAGCTACAAACATCCCTTGATAATCATAACATGGAATGTATGAAGTACGAATCCAGCAAAATTGAGAGTTGTCAAATATGAAATGGAATGCATAAAGATAGATGTCCTAGGCATTAATGAGCTGAAATGGACTGGTTTTGGCCATTTTGAATCAGACGATTATATGATCTACTAGGCCAGGAATGACAAATTGCATAAGAATGCTGTGGCATTCATCATCAAAAAGAATGTATCAAAATCTATCCTGAAGTACAGTGCTGTCGGTGATAGTATAAAACCCATATGCCTACGAGGAAGACCAGTTAATACTACTATTATCCTAATTTACATACCAACCACCAAAGCCAAGATGAGGAAACTGAAGATTTTTACCAACTTTTGCAGTCTGAAATTGACTGAACATGCAATCAAGATGTGGTAATTATCACTGGTGATTGGAATGCAAAAGTCAGAAAAAAAGAAGAATCACTGGTGGTTGGAAAATATGGCTTTGGTGATAGAAATGACGCTGGAGATTGCATGATAGAATTTCTCAAGACCAACAACTTATTCATCACAAATACCATTTTTCAATGACACAAACGGCAGATGGAGTACACAGGAATCCGATCGACTATATCTGTGGCAAGAGGTGATGGAGAAACTCAATATTTTCAGCCAAAACAAGTCTAGGCACTGATTAGTGGATCAGACCATCAACTGCTCATAGGCAAGTTCAAGTTGAAGCTGAAGACAATTAAAACAAGTCCACGAGACAAGTGACCTTGATTATATCCCTCCTGCATTTAGAGACCATCTGAAGAACAGATTTGATGCATTTAACACCAATGCCCAAAAACAAGAAGAATTGTGGGATGACATCAACAACATCATCCATGAAGAAAGCAAAAGGTCATTAAAAGGACAGGAAAGGAAGAGCTGAAAAGAAGATTTCAAAGAGCAGCTTGAGAAGACAGTCAATTATTATAATGAAATGTGCAAAGACTTGGAGTTAGGAAACCAAAAAGGAAAAATACACTTGGCATTTCTCAAGTGAAAAAATTGAGGAAAAAATTTAAGCCTCGAATTGCAATATTGAAAGATTCCGTGGGCAATATGTTGAATGATACAGGAAACATAAATCAAGATGGAAGGAATACACAGAGTCACTATACCAAAACCAATTAGTAGATGATCATCCATTTCAGGAGGTAGCATATGATCAAGAACCGATGGTACTGAAGGAAGAAATTGAAGCTTCACTGAAGGAACTGGAGAAAAACAAGGCTCCAGGAATTGATGAAATACACATTGAGATGTTCAACAAACAGATGCCATACTGGAGGAACACTCTCAGCTATGCCAAGAGATTTGGAAGACAGCTACCTGGCCAACTGACTGGAAGAGATCCATATTTGTACCCATTCCAAAGAAATGTGATCCTACAGAATGTGGAAATTATTGAATTAATACCGCATGCAAGTAAAATCTTACTGAAGATAATTCAAAAATGGTTTTAGCAGTATATTGACAGAGAACTCTCAGAAATGCAAGCTGGATTCAGAAGGTGACATGGAAGAAAGGATATCATAGCTGATATCTGATGGATCTTGGTTAAAAGAAAAGAATACCAGAAAGATGTTTGCTTGTGTTTTATTGATTATGCAAAGACATTCAATTGTGTGGAACATAACAAATTGTGGATAACACTGAAAAGAATGGGAATCCCAGAACACTTAATTGTACTCATGAGGAACTTGTACATAGACAAGGACATTGTCATTTGAACAGAACAAGGGGATACCACATGGTTTAAAATCAGGAAGGGAGTGTGTCAGGATTGTATCCTTTCACCATAATTATTCAATCTATATACTGAGCAAATAATCTGAGAAACTGTACTATATGAAGAAGAACATGGCATCAGGATTGGAGGAAGGCCCATTAACAACCTGAGATACATAGATAACACAATTTTGCCTGCTGAAAGTGAGGGTGACTCAGAGCACTTACTGATGAAGATTGAAGAATACAGTCTGCAGTATGGATTACATCTCAATATAAAGAAAACAAAAATCCTCATAACTGGACCAATAAGCAGCATCATGACAGATGGAGAAAAGATTGAAGTCAGACTTCATATTATTTGGTTCTACAATCAACACCAATGGAAGCAGCAATCAAGACATCAAAAAGACATATACTGCATTGGGCAAATCTGTTGCAATAGATCTCTTTCAAGTGCTGAAAAGCAAAGATATCTTCTTGAAGACTAAGATAAGCCTAACCCAAGCCACAGTATTTTCAATCACCTCATATGCATGTGAGAGCTGGACAACGAATAAGGAAGACTGAAGAAGAGTTGATGCTTTTGAGTTGTGGTGTTGGTGAAGAATGCTGAAAGTACTGTGGACTACTAAAAGAACTAACAAATCTATCCTGGAATAAGTGCAGCCAGAATGCTCCTTGGTGGCAAAAATGGTCATACTTCATCTCACTTACTTTGGTCATGTTGTTAGAAGGGACCATTCTTTGGAGAAGGATGTCAGCTTGCTAAAGTGGAGGGGCAACGAAAAATGGGAAGGTGCTCAACAAGATGGATTGACACAGTGGCTGCAGTAATGAGCTCACGTATGGTAGGGATCATGTGGTTGCCATAGGACTGAGCACTGTTTCCTTCTGTTGTACATGAGATCTCTATGAGTTGGAGATGACTCAATGGCACATAACAACAGCAACAACAACAATTTATAGAAAGGACCTCCTCTAGACATTCTAATCTAAATGTGCCTACTAAATTGTATAGGACATGCAAAACTATGCAATGAATTATTTATATTAGAATCAAAATTAAGGAAAGCCATGTCCAAAACAATACAGTAAGTTGCTATATAATATATACAAAATACTTTTCAATACTTAGATAAAAAATTAAGGAAGATTGGGAGAAATACACACATGTGTACATATTGTCAAAGAATTTCCATTATACATTTATTAGAAATTAAATTGCATATATATTTTACTTTGTGATTTTATAAAAAAGAAAACTACATAGTATTTTAAAATGTTATATGATCATATTACCCTGCTTAAATCCTTCAGCAACCTTCCAAGTATTT